TGATAGTTCTGAACAGGGAGTAGGAAGCATAACTAAGTTAGTATAGCTCCCGAGTATATAGGAAAGCAGTGTTTTATCTTTAATTTGCAGCAGAGCCTCAGAGCTTTAACTCCTTTTTTCACAGGGGTTATAAAACAGGACAGCATTAAAGTTCATAAGTAGCACTTCCAGACCTTGTCTGGCACTCTTAAGCACAGCTCTAGGATTTACAGCACATTGTGTGCCTACACAATGTTCATAAGTCATGCCATTGCCTCTTGCTCAGAGCTAAATAACAGACACTATCACTGAACCAACATCTCTGATCCAGTGATATGTAAGCATATGGATGGTAGGATGAGTTAATAAACTAGTCTTTCACAACAGGGCTTCTGAAATAGAAGAAATGCACCTACTGTCACTAAGCTGAGTGTCCAGTCTCCAAAAGATGACAGTTGCAAGCAGCCATGGATTTTTTAACTACTGTGCTTTTAGAAGCTAATTCAAAATTTAACTTCACTTAATTCACTGGTATGTGGCAGAAGAGAAAGGGCTGAAGCACTTCCAAGTGTGTTAAGTTGCCTGATAACTAGAAGTGTTAAGTTAGCAGAAACAGAGCCCATTTTCATCATGATCCATCCCTACAGACAGGGCAGGCTGGCTATCAGGAACTGCAGTATCAAAATAAGAGCTCCTGTAGACTAAGAGCTGTTCAACTTCCACAATATGTCAGCACTTCAACCAGGAGGCTAGAGCTGTCTATACTGCCTTCAGTAGCTGTCCTTCATCCAGACTTGACCACCAACACAAGTGACTAAGTCCAGTTCCAGCCATACAACTGGCAGACAAAATTTGTCAGTCCAGCCACAGGAGTTGTCTGGCTGTGGCTCACAGTAGGCCAAACCAACACATCAACACATAGCCAGGGATCAGAAAACACGCTCAGACATGAGCCTGGAAACACAGACCACAGAATGGACGCAGCATAAGTGATTGTTTGTGGGCAGAAAAACTGACTGAAAACAGGAGGCTGTTATAGTTCACAAGGACCAAACTAAGCTCATCTGTTGCCCTTAAATGCCAACAATCTTAACTCAAGCAGTGATTCTTCTACAGCTAGGATAGACTTTTTTTTTTTTATAAAATTACTATGTTCTACTTAAAGCTTGTACTTTCCACAAAATCCTGCCAAAAGGAAGCAAGCAATGCAAGGAAAGTAATACAGTTTTATTACTGCTTTCAAGTGTAAGGTCAATAAGCGCCTGTGAATTGCTACAGAGGCATAGCCTTCATGAGGCTTTGAGAAACAATTTAGCAAAGACCTAAACCCTCAGATTAAAATGCTAGAGAAGTTGTCAGATTCTGGAAACTTAAAAAGATATATTTCTATCCTGTTTGGGGATAGTTTGTGACCAAAATTACTAGCCGCTTGCTGTCTAGCTAAAGACAGAATTTAAAAGACACCAGAGAAAATTTTAGCCTCAAGCAACAGTAAAAAAACCTTAAGACCTAAGAGAAGCCAAGTTTTGATCTTTGACATACAGCTCATTTTCAGCATGGTACATCCCTACAATCAGCACAGGCTAGCTATCAGGAACTGCAATATTATAATGAGAGCTCAGATACTGTAAAAATTGCTCAACTTCCACAATATGTCAGCATATAGAATATTTAAGTAGACAAATTCATTATTTGAGCAGTAGCTTTTCTCTGAAGCCAAACTTATTTTCACCAGGGTATGAAAGCCTGGGACCTTGTCCACACACAAGGATGCAGACCATCAGATCTGGATGTTATATAGGTGCTCCTATAAGTTTCCCGAGTCAAAGCTTGCCAGGAGATACAATAATTGACAGTCCTTTTTCAGAATTATTCAGTACCAAGACCAGTAATGGCTTATCATTAACTGTGTGCTCTCTTCCCCTTCCAAAGGGGGAAGAAGAAAGGCAGTCCCTAGGTTCGGGTGTGACAGCCCTGCAGTGTCATGTCAAAAATTTTAGAGGCTCCTCATGGAGCCAGAACCTACAGAAATTAATAGCCTCTAGATGCTTGAATGCATGTGGGATTTAGCACTCAACTCATTGCCAGAGAACCTGCATCAATATGCCATGATCTGAAGCACCAGAAGTGTGTAGAAGCTAGAATCGCCAAAGAACTTTCTCCTTCCTGACTATGGAAGTCGCTTACTCCCTGTAAATCACACATATGCCTGCAAAGCAGCTGTTTACAAACTGTACAGAACTGCAGTACTCCAAAAGTAAGGGTACTCATATGGAAAAAACAGAGTAGCACAATCAATACTGAAATCTGCATTCACATGGGAACAGAACTGGAAAGTACTCAGTCAATTTGAGGCTACATTGTAAAAAAATTAAAATCACAGAGCAGGATATATATTGCACTATATCTTCTCTGATATTGCTGAGGTGCACTGGCACCTTTCACAGCAAAGCCATACACAACCTCTGTAAGACATCCACACTGCCTTGAAAAGTACTGAAACGACTTCAAGGTACAATCAGTTTGACTGACGTGAACTTCATGTTGGTGGTACTTCCACAGAAGCATAGCAAAACCATTGTTGACTCTGCTGGGAGATTTACAACTCAAGCCATCATTGCAGAAGAAGCAATACTGACTAACAGTACAGAACCCGGTCTGACCACCTGTATTGTGCTTACATAGTAAGGAAACACGGTAGCAGCATGGTGCAAAGGCGGTCTCTGTGAGAAGTTAGGGGCTGCCCTGTGCTGGACACATGGTTCCACAGCACAGCAACTGCAGAGCAAAAACATGCCAAAATATACTTAGAAGTCAAAATGTCACATGATGTGGGTAGCAGGGCAGGACTTGAGAAGCCACAGTATGATCAAGATGAGTGAAAGAGGTGCTCCAGATACCAAAGTAGAGATTCCTCTGCAGCTCACAAAAGAGACCGTGGAGGAGCAGGTATTGCCCTGCAGCCCATGGAGGGGATGCCACAGCAGAGCTGTTGGACATTTCCTGATGGAAGCTGCAGCCCATGGAGAACCCATGATGGAACAGATATTTTCTGGAAGATTGCAGTCCATAAGAAAAACCCATGCTGGAGCAGGGGAAAAAGTGAGGAGGGGTCTGGCAGCTGGGCAAGGTCAACCAACCATACAAGCAAGGACAAAAGCAGTTTGCAAATTCTAGGCAGAAACCTCACACTCCAGTCAAGAACTGCCCTTGTTGCTTGGTCCTGTGGATAACTTAGTGCTAGTTTGCTTGTCATAAGTGAGACTTAAGAAATAGAGGGATGGCCTGAAATCTAGAAAGGAAGCTTTCCCTGGCGTAAGGGAATAAACCAGCAAATAAACCAACCAAGAGAGGGAATAGGGAATTAAGTGAATGCAAGTGATAAATTACAATTCTGTTTAATTTTGTCATATTGTCTGACACCAAATCAGTTTCTGAGCTCTCCTGTCTTTCCAGAACTGTTGGCCTTCTGGACTGATAAAGAAACATCTGCTTTTTTTAATTCCCTTTTCTAGCCTAAGAGCTTATATTGCAATTACCAAAGTGGAATACAAGCTTCAACTGAGACAGACACTTCCCCAATATTCATTCAGCCCTCCACAACTGCCTCTTTAATAGCTTGTAGTGTCTGTTGAATCACCACCATTTGAGCTTTAAAGTGGAATGGCTTTATAATCTTACTCTATTTCCAAAAAAACTTTCCCCAAAGGGGAATCACACTTAAAGGGAAGCTTCCTACAAAGTCAAGCTCACTGTCTGAAAGCAGTAGGTCCAACTAAAACTGTTCAAGCTGAGCAGCCTGCATACAGCACTAGATATAACATAGATGTTGCCCTATAATATATCTAGAGAGATTCCCAAGAGCCAGCTGTACATTCTAATAACCACCAACTGAGAACAAGATGACACTGGGTACCACCAGCTTCCTCCCCAAAAAATACCTAAGATAGAGGCATGTCTCTCCCTAAAGTAAGGGGAAACTTTCGGTGCTTTCCCTTCACTTCAGGGATCTGAAGTTTTTAGCCAAGTGCTCAAGATCAATAAGAAACCAGGACAGCAGCTTGACAGGAGTTTCAATTCAAAAGATATTGCAGCAGCTGCTTTATCAGGGAAAAAAAAAAAAAGGCAGAGCTAGGGAAAGTAGAAGAAAGTACTCCCTGCTCTCTGGGTAAGAAATGCTTCCTCAAACTTTGGCCCTTGCCGATTTTAAGAGGTTTCCTCTACTCAAAGCCATCAAATCCTGATTTCAATTTAGTATAGGGCATTAACTAAAATAGCTTCATCAGTGTCAGCATTTATAAATGCTGTCTTCAGTTAGTATCTTGTTGAATCCAGTAGTGACTTCATTGAGATGCTTTGTGTAAACAAAAGGTGTCAATCACCTCACAACAAAACAGATGCCAAGAGAATCTTGTATTTTTACATCAGCATCTGTTAGTGAAACAAAAGCCACTAGCAAGTCCCAGTAAAGCAGTTTTAGGTAAGTATTGTTCTACCCATCTGAACACTGGCATGAGATTTAACAAGATTATGTCTTCTCATTTGATCCTAATTGGTTGCCTTAGGAAATGCATGGATATGCATGAACAGTCTACCATACACTGAAGAATTGACAACCTTGGCTTAGGTTGTTTGTGGTAATCCCTAGGTTTGCTTTCTAATAAATACTAACCAGAGACAAGCCAAAGATAACACCCTGTTTTGTCCTCTTAATCAGAGGTGACCTCATCATGTCTATCATCAGCCTTCTGGCACTTCCTGAATACAAGTGCCTGTATTCTCCACAGTTTCATGCAAGGTGAAGACAAGGAAAGAGAAGTGAAAGTAATCTTTAGCTTTTGCTCTGACATGCTGCACTTAATCATCGTCCTGAAAGGCTGGTTATATTTCCACACATGTTTACCAATGCTGAACAAACTGAAGCAAAATATGTCAGACGGAATATATATGTGCAGTTTTACTTTATTCACTTGCCCTGATGATTTCCAAAGAAAAGCATGAATTACTGAAACTGGACACACCTTTACCAGGAGGAAGGCTTCATGCAGGGTTCAGCAAAAACTACCAAGTTCAGAACTGTTCTCCCACTCCCGTTGTCCTGTCTGAACAAAGGCACACCCAGAGAGTATATATCTTGGAGGGAATGAAGCAGATTTTGACAGGAGTCTAGAGATAAAGAAAAAGCTAGTCAGAAGCTTTTAATTTATAGCTATTCTGAAGGTGGCACTATTAGTGGGCAGGTTAACTTGAAAGTAGTTACAGTAGAGGCTTCCCACTTAAGGTCAGATGTGGAAATTTTCTTAAGAAAAGCAACAACGAGCTAAAACACAGCATGGGTTTACCCAAGAAGGTGTCAAGTTTAACAGGAAGAACAGTTACTGTGATGAGATACCTACCTTTTTTAAACATGGTGGGGGGGAAAGATGCATTTGTAACTCAATATTCTTTGCTACAGAGAAAAACTTCCTGAAAACTGAAGTTAGACTTTCTATTTGGGACTATCATTCACTCAGCAGCATAGTGTTCCGTGGAGGTTTTTTTTAAAGTTTCAAGTAAAATCAAATCCTTCTCTTGTCAAATTGCCTGGGATTTTACTACTGAACTCTTCCAGTCTGTTCTGGGTCTTCAACAGGGGACAAAGGGAGAAGTCCCTGGATTACATGAAGCAATTGTGGAAGCATTTTTGGTTTTGTTTACCAGCAGAACTCAAAGTAAAACTTGAAGATTTTTAGGTAAATTCTTAGAGATCCAACAGGAAACTTAAAAGTTAGTTTACTTCTGACACCAGCTATTCAAGCTAGAGCAGAGTCTCAAATCTTTGGGCTCAAAGTGTACTTGTCATACAACAGGGTCAGATCCAGAAATGTTGAAGGACAGGTTTTAAGAATGCCTAAATTTACTTAGTGTGGTAGACTTTTTTTTTTTCCTCCAACTCAGTTCCAGTTTCAGCATCAAAAAATTCTAGTGTTCTAGAAGACATACTGCATTTTTCTGAAGTTCACTCTACAGGCAAAACTCCATTTGGAAGTTGGGACTGATCTTTTTTTAAATTACTTTCATGCAAGAACCACACATACGAACCAGGGTAGCTTCATCCTCCTAGGATAAAAGCTAACAGCTACACATTATACCTGTTTACACACCAACAGATTTTACAAAACAGTGCAGATGAGTTAAGGTGCTTTGTCCTATGGGTGCTTTTATATCCAGATTAGAAATCTGCAAAACATACACTGCAGTATGTTGATGAGCAACAGCTAATTTCAGCTCCAATACTGCTGCCAAAGTGCTTCAGGTGAAGAAGCACTTTTGTGGTAAAGCAAAGCTCAACTTCTGTTCCCAATCCAGCTAGTTTGGAACTCCTTTAGGTACTTACTGTTCACAGCAAAAATCCTGAAATTTAGATAGCCTCACTGACAACTGAGGTTGAAGACAAGAAAAGCATTAGCAGCCACACTATCACGCTGATTGCTTTTCACTCTACATCCTATTTGCCCTCAAGAGACACATATTCCAGTGACAATATGGCAGAAGTTTAACTTTCCTAGTTATTTAAAGATCCATTAGCCACATTAAATGTAATCCTATTTTTTTCAGAATGTACATAACAGATAGGTGAGCTGTGAAGTTCAAGGGGAGTTCCTACAGTTAGATTTTAACAACTCTGCAAGTTTTAAGAAGGGTAGTAGTTTAGGTCTTTAATTTAGAAAAAGAAAACCACCACCAAGTTGGAGCATAAAGTACTTTTGGAGTTTGCTCTGAAGAGAACACTCAGCACCCTGGAAGTTTCTGAAGCACCCAAAACAAAAAATCTGGGCTGACATACTTCCCCATACTTCCAGACAACAAGTTTAACAATCATGAATATATTAACACAGCAAAGTATGTTTATGTCCATTTTGTAATCTGTAGAAACTGCAGCTACAATCCTAAACATCCACTGGTCAGATTATGTGACCAATACATCTGTTCTAGAACAAGCAGCAGTCACTAGCATTGAGGCCATGTTGCTGAGAACACAGCTGCGCTGGGCAGGGCACATCTCAAGGATGAAGGACCACCGCCTCCCTAAGATCTTGCTTTAGGTGAACTTGCCACCGGCTGCTGCATGAGAGGAGCCCCGAAGAGAAGATACAAGGACTCCCTGAAACAACATCTCAGCCTTGGCCATATTGATCAACATAACTGGTCTACTCTGGCCTCCAATTGGGAGGTCTGGAGACACACCATCTATAACGCTGCTGCTTCCTTTGAGAACGCACGCAGGATCACTCTCGAGGAGAAAAGACAATGCAGAAAGAATCGTGTCTTGCAGAATATACCACCTAAGGAGTCTTTCTGCTGTGCCTTTTGCAACCAGATGTGCCTGTCTCATATTGGCCTTTTTAGCCACCAGCGTGCTTGTAACAAATGTGGATAGAGCCCTCCCCAAATCTTCATTCTCAAAGCCTAGCCATGATGATGATGATGAGAAATTGCAGCTACTACTCCTTCTACAGTTCAGGTTTAAACTGGGAAGGTAAAGTAGTTGCAAGATCAGTTACTGACACAGAGAGAACATCCTGTCTCTGTGAAGCAGAACATCACTGGCTCTACAGAGCACCTAACAAGCTAAAGCCTATAGAAGAGAGTTTTGACTTTCAACCCTGGACCTAAGGGTATGATTCCTGTTCCTAGAAATACTGTCTGTACCTATGCAATAATAAAGAAGGAAAGAGCCCACAGACACTGACAAAGCCAGAGGAATGTTGGTGTAGCAACCCTGATAAAAAAAATCATAGCAAAATTCTTCAATGTTTGCCCCCTTTATGGAAAGCATAAGACACATGTCAGGTAGCACAGTCACCACTGAAATACCTTATTCCACCATTAGGTATTGCCTATCCAGTTAATCAATATTGCTTTGTCATCACTTCGGATTTTTACCCACAAAGCTGCAGGACAGCAGAATAACCTGAGGCCTTTAGGTACAGCAGCCAGAAGCACCATTCTCTTACAGTCAAGAAGTAAATCCCTGGACTCCTACATGTGTGCAGTGCATTTAAGAAATCCTATCCCATGGCAACTGCTTTCAGAAGTTAAAGCTCTAGTAGGACAGATTTCTGCATCTGCGTAATTTTCAGGAATATTTCAGATGATTGCAGCTAATTGAGGGCAAATAACACCACCAGCAGCAGTATTGATAATCCAATTGGCTACAGTTTGCTGAAACAGAAAGGCATGGCAGCATTTACACCCGATCCCTTACCAGACAGAACTCCAAAGCCTTGGCAGTAGATACTGGTATTGTTTTTAAGTTAAAAGGGTGGATCAAGTTCTTCTAGATCTACATACTTTTAGGTTAAAACACAGAAAGGGAAATAAGTCAAATTAATCTCTAGAACTGTGTAGCAAAAAACCAGTGTAGCAAAAAAGTCATTGCATGAACACCTCCGTTCATTTTACACATACCAGTCTTACAGATTTCTATGTTAGAAGTACTTTCCTTCCACTAAGCCTGAGAAGTGTACACATTAAAGCTCACATTTCCCTAATAAGCTTGGAGTAGATAATCCTCTAGTGTTCCAGATGCATACATATTTTTAAAAGCTACTTTTGTACATAGCTTATCTACTTTTGCAACACTTGTCTGCTCACTTTTAAGAGCAGAGGAATAAGCCAAATGCAAAACTCCAGGCAGAAGCCAATGAGAGTTATCACCATTCTGCATGGTAACTAGACCCAAATCAGAAGCTGCTTCTTGGCTCAGACAAAAACCCCTTTATCTGGCTAGTATCCACAAACTCCGACTCATTTAATATCCTCCACTTGGAAATTACACCCAAGAGCTTCTGGCTTTTTAGTTCTTAACTTGCACCTAATTCTACCACATATTTGTTTAAGCCTAAGTGTAGACTGCATGTAAATCTTCTTCAAAGAAATGGGAAGGAAAATGGTTTGATGTACCAGCTAGAGTAGGTTCTTTAATCTTCATGCTACTCAAGGGAGTCTATGCTGCAACAAATGATTATCATTCTATCTGCTTCTGACTAGAACGTATATGGTACACACAGAAGCAAGATTTAGAGATAGTGTACATCTGGACATCTTTCCTAGGCATCTGTCCCCATATGTTGTATTTTAAAGGATGCCACTACCTTTACCATGCCTTTACCAGGTGTTTTCATGTGAGGGTGCTTCCTTATCTATTTGATTCCCGGTTCACTCTCCCTCCATAACATAGGTGGTCACACTACTGCTTCTGCAAACCATGGTAGAACATAAGATAAGCCATAGAACACAAGATAGTTACCTTTACATTAAGGCTGTATTGGATTGTTTTAATTTGCTGGAATGTCAAACCCTAATGCATTAGAATTACAACTGAAGGATCATATGATTTCAGGTTCTCTATACAACCAAAGAAAAAGTTCTCATTGAGTTCCAGAACACTTGGTTGAGATTATAGAACAAGCACTATTCCATGCATCACAATCCTAAGCATAGCAGCTAAGCTAGTGGACTTCCTTAATCAGAAGGTAGAGTATTGCTTCCTTATGCAACTTAAGTGATTAATCTCTGTCATGGAAGAGAACAAGGATGGACAACATTTTCCACATTCCTTCTAGTCTATGACCCAAGCAGTGGTAACAGAGGACTGGTGGCCAAGAGAAACTCTGAAACAGAATCTGCCCACTGAGTGTTTGGAACCCCTCCTCCCTATTTGAGGATCAGCACTTCCCTCTGGATACAATTCCAACTATCATTAACTGGACCAGTGGCCAAGAAAAGCCTTAGAGAAGCAAGTTATTTCCTCTGTCCTACTTTTCCATCTTTCTTATCTGTACACACCTTCCCTTCTACTTACTAAGATTCTTTCTATCAGAGGCTCTCCCATGGGAAAGCCCTCAACCCCAGCTTTAATCAATAACTCAGTGGCACGGAAACAGCAGGTTTCTTTCACTCTGAACAGGGTGAAATTACATTCTTTCACTTTGCCATGAGACTGAGAATAGAGAAAAATTATATTACACCAATGCTCTTACAGCAGTGAATCAAATTTAACTTCAGACCGACAAGAGCTGTCATG